CAGGAGTCTGTTGTATTTTATCAGTATTGTTACCTGAACTGATGCTTTCTCAGATTAATTGAAATGACAGGGAATTAGAAGTCTCTACAGTGCATTTATTTGTACTTGAGATTCCAGCCTGAGAGCGTTTGTTTCTACTTAAGTTATCAGCCTTCATCTGTAACCTAATGGGTGGGTAGAGAAAATAATGGGTATGTAACAGGACAATTTTGAGAGTGAAAGGGAATTGTGGCACCCATGGAGGTGAGTGGTTCAAATCTCCCTATAAGAAGGAACGAGCTGCAAGGAGTACAGTTAGCCTCCAGCACGCTTCTGCAGCTTTAGAGCCTCATCGTACCTGGGCTACCTTCAGCCAGTGATCGAATACAGAAAAGACACTAGTGCCTGGCCATTTCTGCATTTGGAGGATTCCTTTAAAGAGTAATCTTTGCTTGGAGCTCCTTGATGGATTGGCTAAGACTTTGTAAAGTCTGCATTACACACTGAAGCTCACCTGCTCAATTTTCCTTCTACCACTCCTACCCCATTTCTTTTCACAAATGTCAGATGTGCATCAAAAGGTGAAGGTTTTTCCTGCCCATTAGTGCTTCCTTCTCAATTTATCTTTCACAGGAACTACTTTTCAATACACTTCTTACTCTCTCTCTTTTTTTTATTGTCATAAACTTCTTACATTCTTACCTTTGTTTTAGCATTTACTTCATGGAGAAGCCATCTGACACAGGGATGTTATCACTAATTAGGTACGGGGAAACATATTTCAAACATAGCCTATAATAATACTAATTATGTTTGTTATAGACTTTTGTTGTCTACCCTCCTCTGTATCTGAGGCCAAAACTTTGTTTTCTGTTGATACTGTTCATCTAAAAGAGGTACATGTTGGGGCCTCTGTTGTAATCTCAGGCAGATCTCAACATAACTAAACTCCAAGTGAATAAATTCTTTGTACTGGAATGGAAAAGGCCTAGCACTGATTTCCTTCTTTTCCTCTTTGAAGAATCTTCCCTTTTTTCCCTCATTTGTTTGTTCATACGCCCAAGGATCTCTCCTCTTCTTTCCTGTCTGCTCCTCTCTCCTCCCCTCTCTTCTTCATCTCTGCCTCCCTTTGAAGATTCTCACTGAAATATAGTTTCCATGTTGTAGCAAAACCTCTCCAATTTTATATCTGCTTATTCAATAGCTTTATGGGATATTTTCATTTTGGATACTCCACAAACTTCTCAAACACCATCATTCCTTTACAACTAAACCCATTATATTTTCTTATGAAAGATGGCCACTCAATCATCCCGGCAGGAGCTCTAGAAATCAAACCAGATTTTTTGCTCTCCCTCAACCCACACATTAATTTGGTCACAATGTCATCTTAATTCTACCTTGCACATTTTGGTCAAATCTATTAACTCTTTTCTACCTTTCAAAAAGACAGTAAATATCAATAGTGGGGATAAAATGTAAGATGAGTTTTCACAAGTATATAATCTATTAGAAATAAGTAGACATTAGCAAAAGAAGAACAAAAAGTATAAGGACAAGAGAAAAAAACAGGTCAGCCAAATAAGAGCTGGTATCTACAAGTTAGAATTAGAGGTTAACAGATTATCTTGTCTCATTTTGACCACAAGAAGCATCACATGACTGGCCTATACACCAGATAGAAAGCTGATCAGATTAAGTGTTATCACCTAGAAAGGGCAGTAACATACCAAGAAAGATTTCTCAAAACACCAAAACTCCCCATAATAATAGGACAATCAAAGAAACCAGACATTCTGGCCTCTTGTGTCCCTGGGTATATCTGGACTGCAAGCTCACATCAGTTAATAAACCATACAGGAACTTGGCTGTAGGAGTGAGAGGTTCCTGATTTTGGATAAGTATATAAACATAGCCTGTATACTTGAGAACCTGTAGGATTCTGTCCATGCCTTTCCTTTCTCCTGTAAACATTGCTTCTGTCAGTATAAATAAAGCAACAGAAACAGCTACATGTATCTTGATCTGGTGATATCACTGCAACGACCAATCCTGGTCTGGGGACTGTAGATTTCTCTATTTGTAGACTGAAAATACACAGAATTATGACTGACATCTCATCGAGAATTTTAGGGACATTAATACTCATCTTCATGCAATGTACGTAGTGAGGAGATGACAGTGTACAAAGCTGTGCTGCTTAGCTCATACCAAAGGTGGAGAGGCATAATCTCACTTTTAAACTGGTGAGTGAGTCTTCTAAAAAATGTCAATAATAATGCTTTTGTTACTAGATTAATCATCTGGGGGAAGAGGTGGTAGTGATTTGGGGGAATTCTCATTTCCTGTTTCATTACCTAGTATTTATTAACTGGATTGGGATTAAATGGTGCCTCCATTGTTTTCTCTGTCTATAGCTACTTCTAAGGAAAGTTAAGAAGAGTTCTTTTTTTGCTGAGACTACATTGAAGATTAATGTTTACTCCTTTTTCCCTCAGCCTTGATTCCTTCATTTGATCCAGCACAATATTGCCTGAGTCATCATTCCAAAACACAGATGTGACCACATACTTGCATAAAGTTCTCTTATGATTTTCCAAAGCTTAAAGATAAATTTTTAGCTCTGCATATGAAACCTTTATTTATATGACCATCTACCTTTCTGAGCTTATTCCTCTCTATTACTAATACACATCTGTGCTCTAATTATAGTGGCCTACTTGAAGTTCCTTAAATGAGCCATGGTCTTTTCCCTTCATGTATATTATTCTCTTTGCCTGGAATGTTGAGCATGTACATCACCTGACAGCACTGAATCCTTTTAGAAGTCTCCATTGACCCTACAATTTGGATAATGTACACTAATCACAGTTTGTATCACTATGTGCTATAATTGTTACTGCTTTTTTATCTCCTAAAGTAGACTCTGTACTTCATGATAAAGACTGTTTTTAGTTCTGTATGTCCTAAGGACCTACCTAAGTGCCTACCACAAAATAGGAATTCAAGGATAGATAGACAAATGGATGGATAAAAGGAGGGATATCCAAGTGGCTAGTTAGCTAGATATATAAAGAGATAGACAGAAAATGTATTGAAGTATCTTTATTAGTCATCAACCTCCTCATTCAAATGCTCTCCATAGAATGCTGCCATGATAATCTTCTTAAACTACAGATGTGACCATGTCAAAACTTTAAAATACATGTTAAAAACATTTATTGGCTCTTCATATTATAAATTACAATGTTACTTTTTAATTTTCCTTTTTCTGACATATTTATACTTTCTCAGCCATTCCCAACCAAATACTCCATGGTCTGGTCATACTAAATTGTGTAGTATTCTCAAAACATATTCATTTGCTCATTCATTTATTCGCTTATTCTATGATTCTCTTTTCTAATATCAGTTCCAGTTCTAATATAGTATTTTCATTTGTAATATATGTAGTATAACTAATGATTCGCTTTATTAATTTGACAAAAATTTTAACCTCCATTTTCATTTTTCTAAAATATTAAAGTAGTATAAAAAGAGATTAAATAATTCATGGGAAAGCTCCTATAAGGTAATAAAATTCTTAAGAAATACAAACTAATAGGGAGTTGGGGCCCAGATGCTTTCCTAATTTTTGAAAAGTCTCATTCTCTTAATCTAGGAGGTAGCACATTCACCTATAAAGCTGCCTTAAAAACTATATGGGATTTTCTAAATCTGATTTACATCCTTTACGTGCAGTAAAGCTACACCCATGACTCTGTCTGAAACCTGCTTTTCACTCAAGACTTAATCAATGCTACTTTGGGTATGTCAGGCTACTGAGGGATAATATCCTTAAGATTTTTAGAAACCCTTTTATTTAGCTGAGAGAGTCTTTCAGGCTACACCTGAATTATTTGAAGTGTTTTAGCAAAGGTTCTTATAGCCACATCCTTGATTTGATATTTATGGTGGGGCCGTGTCTTTCTGACAAAGCTCTAGATTTGATCTTTCACTGGTTTGAGAGGCTGGAGTTTAGAAATAGTTTTATTTTTTATCACAAGTCCTAGTCCCTCTATAGTCCTTTTCTTTACTTTCAGACTCATTGGTTCTCTATTTAACTCATCGCTTTCTTGTAGTACCTTATCGAATGCAGCTATTAAGAGCCAGCTGACACTTTAACATTCTGCCCGGAATTCTCATTACTCATATTAATTCATTAGGTACAGTTTCTATCATCAAAGTTTTTACAGATAAAAGCTTTACTAACAGTTACTCTCTCTCTTTACATAACATTGATAGCCATTTTTTCTAGCCTCCTGTAGCCATTCTCTCAGTGCCTTTTTAGATTCTATCTGCTACTCAGTGCCAAAACTGGGGTCACAAATATTAGGTCTTTGTTATGACACAACTTATTTCTCAGTAGTAGTTTCTCTCTCATCCTTCCACGTTTCTCTCACTTCTCTTAAGCAAGCTAGTATGAAATTATTCTCATGACTTGACAGGGTTCCAAGAGAAAGAATAAGAATAGTCAAGTGCTTTTTCAAACCTCCCCTGGCTTCAAGTCTGCTAATATTTTTTTGGCCACATTGAGAAGCCCAGATTTTTAGGGATCTAGAAATAAATCCCACCCCTTAGTGAGAAGAGTTGAACTGCAAAGTTATAGAGTAAAGCATGTGGATATAGAACGGTTATTTATTGGAGTAATTAATAAGCCAGTCTACCACAGATATTTCAGTTAATCTTTAACAAATTAGAGAGTATTTCATTTACATGTAATGAAGAAACCTCAAACTAATTTAATAGATTTTGGTATGCAATTCAGCATATATTGTTTGAATTATAAAATTTAGTTTTTACCACATTACATACCATCTCTCTTAAAAGCACATGGTTTGAAATGGGTCTTGCATAACTTATCTGTAAATCAAAATAATCTGGTGACTTTACTAAAGAAGATGAGTGGGATATATGAAGTATTACTTTTCAGTGCCTAAGACAAAAAAAAAAAAGTCAATATCTATCTCTTTATTCCTCAGGTGGTATTTGTGATCCCAATCCATGTGAAAATGGAGGTATCTGTTTGTCGGGATTGTCTGAGGATTCCTTTTCCTGTGAGTGTCCAGACGGCTTCACAGGTCCCAACTGTTCTAGTGTTGTGGAGGTTGGTAAGTGCAAGATTTAAGCATTTCAATAGTAATCCTCTTTGTTTTCATGAGTGACTGACAAGTTTGGCGGCGGAGTATTATGGATATTCTTTCTGTATAAGATTGCTATCCATTGCTAATTAGTTTATTCTCAATTTTATCATTTCTATATTATATTTAAATTATATTTTTATTTGTGGTGTTCTCAATAAATAATTCAAAAACATGTTTTAGTGATTAACAATGTAAAGTCACTACAAGTACTACTAGTATATAATAAATTTCTTATCTCTCTAATATTAATATACATTTAAATTTTTATTTTCACTGGAAAACAATTCCTAAGTCAACTTATTCAAATTAGTCACTCTAAATAAAATAGGACTTATTCTAGTGACTGATAATATTCATCAGTACCCTGTAGCTGTACTAATCATTACTTTTCTAAGACTATAAGTACATTAAAGAAGATAATATTCCAGTTGCATTGTTCTTCAAAGTCATCTCAAAAATTTTGCTTGGTAAATACTGATTAGTCATTGACCACACTTCAAACTATATTTTCTTTAATCTTTGAAGTACTTCATTGGCATGTATAGTTATGGATTCAGGGTAACTTCCATAATTTCCAAATAGTTCCCCATTAATAAAATAGCTGTACTTTAAATAATTAAGCACTATGTAAACTTGTAGAGAGATTTTCTCTCTGATTAAAGGTAATACCATGATTAAGATTGAAGAGATTTCTACATTTTTTCACATCAGTACGAAGAAGAGTAAGAAGTGGACTATATCTGTTCTAAACTAAACATCTTTTTGATTAAAGTTCTGCCAACTAGCAAAAGCCTTGGAAAACTTGAGATGTCTATGACTTTTGAAAAACAACTTTGAAGAAGTAATAGTGTCCATAGCAAGTACCTTTATGCATGGTAGGAACCAAATAACTATTGATTGAATGAATGAAAAAAATAAATAAAACTTTTAACTTCCATTTTTGGCCTCTAGCTATTAGACTTTAGTGTACTTTGTTTTTTAAATGTCTTTTTCTTATATTTTCATATTACATTAGTATGAATGTATTATATCTGAAAAAGTTAATTATGTTATTGCTTAAAGGTACCTTGTTCATTTAATTCATTTCAAAGTTGTCTTTTAAGGCTTTTATTAACTCACTGCTATTTTAGGGGATTTGATACAGTGCCATAGATATGAAACTATAACTTGTAACCACTTTGACCCAGTCTCTAGATATGTACAGTGCGTTTCAGAATTTTATGTGAGAATCATCATATCCTTAAGAAAGTCTATATCTCTGGAGAAAATTACAGTCATGAATGTTTCTAACAAGACTGTATGAATAGAATAAAACTTTAGTGTTATATTTTAAGCACACTAACCCCAAATTGGCAGAACCTTAGATTTGTAGTATATAATGTTTTTGTTGCTACTTTGTAAAAGCCAAATCTATAATTGAAGAGGCAAATGTATTTAAATAATTATAAAACTAGTATCTTCATAGAATTTTAAAATAAATACTTGAATACTTCAGGCTATATTTTTAAACAATTCCATAGTCAAAATTTTATCAGAAAAATGATTCCATTAGCAGCAACACTTTACAAACTAAACACACGGCAATATTCTATGTATTTATATGAGACTTTGGGGAATCAAATACCTAAGGAATTTTTACTCAGATTTATTGTTATATATTATTAAAATACTTCTTATATTCAGATATGGGTGGTTATATATAACATTATCTTAAGCTATGTGTTTTCATGATATATTTTGAGCAACTTCATTTTCCATGAGGAATATTTAGGAAATATGTTCAGTTTACATTTGCTTTACCATTTAGAATAGCATATTTGTTATGCCAATTCTGATTTATTGTATTGGTTTTATAAGATTAAAATAATAAAAAAACAAATGCCCTAACAGTTTAAAATGTCCATCATTTCTTAAATACAATTTTTCTATATTATAAAATAATTTTTTTTTAAGGATGAAAAAAATCAGTGGAAAATCAAATATGGTTTTAGGCTAACTAGCTCTTTAGGAGAGACATATTATCTTATTTGCCATTCTACTATCTCTTTCTCAGCTCCATATTTTTTTGCATATAATAAGGGAATACTGAGTATTTATTGAATAAAAACAGTAGCGGTGCCTTTAATATCTAACTACTTTAGGATTTTTTATTTTCTTTTTTTGCATCTTTAAAACTAATAATTGGGACATAGTAAGCAAAACACATTAGATCGTTAAAGACAATCCTGCTTTTTAGTTTTAAAAATCTACTACTTTACTGGGACTTTTTTGATGCTGTTTTTCTGCTGTTAGGTAGTACATGTTATGAAAGCACAGAGCATACTAGAATTTTGTAAAAACAAAACCCCACAAGCTGTAGGTATTTTAATGTAATATCTTAAAAGACAAAAGTTTGATTTTTGTCTTTTTTGTCAACATTACTGTGGTTTTACTTCCACATGGCCTCCCCAAAGATAGAGATGTGCCTGTTTTCTTGTAACCTTTTGAACCATATGAATTTGGAGATTATACGAAGTTGTAAGTATCCTCATGTTTAATTTCCAAAGGAAAGAAAATAATCTTGTCAGTATTTGCTTAGAATAAGTTGTTTTGATCCCAATTAAAAATTACTTCTGCTCTGTTTATTCTACAATTAAACATGTACTCTTTTTATTGCAGTACATCTGGAAAGGAGAATTTCAAATCATTCTATTCTTAGAGATAAAAATTACTTCTTGATTTTACCTCAAACCTCATTACTTTGTAGTAGCCTTGTTTTTAACTTCTTGATGCTACTTTTTTCAAAAGAGATTTTCATCCAGTTTTGTACTATTATTCTTTTCTTTCAAAGCATCCAATGTCCAATAAGCAGAAAACACTTTACCACATTTGCAATCAATCCTTACATCACTTACATTCCTCTATTATGTGTGGAAGTTTGGAGATAATGACTTGCTCAGATTCGTGAACTTCATTTGCGTTTGACTTAATTCTTGTTTTTCTTTGACTTAATTCTTGATCTGTCTGTATACTTCAATATCATTGTTTTTCTTTGACTTAATTCTTGATCTGTCTGTATACTTCAATATCTGTTTCTTTCTCTCTCTCTCCCTCAGTGTCTCCTTCTCTGTCTCTCCCATACACATTCTCTTTATACAGACATATCTCCACACTCAATGTTCTCAGACTCTTAGTGTTATTAAGACTGATTTCTGATATCTACACAAGGCAATAAGAAAACATCTCTCTGAAGAAAGAAAAGAAAAAAAAAAAGCACTTCACATCTTCAGTTTTGACGACATCAGCCAGATTAACCAGGGTTTGCAAAGATATGCATTGGACACTGCCTCCTTCTCCCGGGGAATTGTAGAAAGATCACCATGTGGATAATCCCCAAACTACTTTCTAATTACCTCCTCACATTCCTGAATGACACTGTGTACTTCAGAGACAAATGTTGATATATTTCACAAAGAAATTTCTATTACTAGTGAATACTCTAGAGTGCATATATGAAAATTTTGGCAATTATTAAACTGTCCAGGTTTCATGGCATAATTCTCCTCCATATGCTATCAGAATAATCCAGTAAACTAATAATAAATATAAACTTTAACAACTCAAATACACAGTATATTAATGCAACCAAAGAGAACAAAATAAGCGATTGACTTTTTTAAATAATAAAATCTTAGTTTTCATTGATTCTTAAATGTTTATTGAATACTTACTAATAGTTACATAAATAATGGGATGCAATGATAAACAGATTTACAGAAATTACTGTCCAGTTAGGAAAACAGATAGATAGATAATAGATATAGATAGATAGATGATAGATAGATAGATAGGTAGATAGATAGATAGATGATAGATAGATATGATAGATGTTCTGATAGAAGTATATGGAGCCATAAGACTATAGCACAGGTTTTCTATCTTAAGCTAGGTGACAGGAAATGCATGCCTATTTGAAAAAAATATCTTGAAATAATTCTAAAAGATAATTTCAATCTAGCAGACAGAAATACAAAAGTATTCAAGAATAGGAAATAATTTTAGAAAAGCCAGGAGATAAGAAAAGTCATAATTTCATGAGCTGAAAAGAATTCAGTGTGGCTAGAGCTTAAAAGAGATGTGGTGGCCAGCAATGAGTCTAGAGATGGTGATGGTGGCAGATTCTGCAGTCTTGCATAATATTTTAAGGAATTTGGATTTTATACTAAGAGCAGTGAAGAGGATCCATACTTTTAGAAGATCACTATCTTTGGAGTATGGAAAACAAATTAGAAGAGATTAAGGCAAGGAGACAATCTTAAGGCTACCGTGGAAGACAAGGTCAGACAAGATGATATTGACCTTGGTCACTGTAGTAACAAAGGGAATGGAAAGGAGAGAATCAATGAGTATTTAAAGGATACAGTAAATTAGTAGTGACTTGCAGGGTTATTGATAAAAGGAGTCTGGAGAAAATGAAAATTAAAAAAGATCCATCCTCAGTTTCTGACCTGAGCAACCGGGTGCCATTTACTGAGATAGTGCAAATTGAGGATACGTGGGATGAGGAGGCAGAAATTGAGTTAAGTATTTCAAATATGGAATTTGAAGCATTTTCTAGATATTATTTAAGAATTCAGACATAGATTTCTAAGTCTTAATTGTATGGATAGTATTGACACTCAGGGAATGTATGGATCTTCCTGGAAGCAAAAAAAAACCCTGAAAAAATGAGATGACAAAGAAATAGAAACTGATAAATGGTTCATCAATAATTAAGCAGTAGGTAGAGAAAGGTGAATCTTTAGAGGATCTGAGAAGGAGCGGTCAGGGAGATAGAAGAGAAGCCAGGAGGGAACATTTTAGATCTTTCTTCCCAGAAATTGTCACCAGTCTTGGCTCAAATAAACTCTTACGAGGAAAAAAAAAGAGAGAAATCAAAAAAGCGTAGCATTACAAAAGTTAAGGGTAAACAGTGTTTTAAATCAGCA